GGCCTGGCATGGCAGAGGGTTAGAGGCCGGCAGCGTGGCGTGGAGGCCTGGCCCAGGCGCCCACACAGGGCCGGGCAAGAGGCTTAACTCGCCATAACCACTTTGTAACTGCACTAGGGTTTTTTCTTTCAAAGACAAGCAGCTTCTCCAAGCTTTGCTCCTTGGAGCTCATCTCCGCCTGCAGCCCCAGAGCAGCGCCCCAGGGTGCAGATGCAGCCCCGGGAAGCTGGAGCCGGGCTTCCTTCCTTCAAGAAAGATGGGAGGACCGAAGACGCTGGAAGTGACACAGTGACACAGCGCGGGGAGGTGGGTGTGGGTTCCGTGCCCTCCCCTCTGCTCCTTGCTGCAGAAGACCCTGGCGCACCTGCATGCGGGGAGACGGCCCTGCCACCACCCTGGAGCTGGTTTTCAATAAGTCCCTTTTCCATTTTTTCCCAAATATATGGCCTCTGTCGATTTGGTCAGCAGCAAGCGCAGGCCTCTGAGCTTGTGAACCTAAGTGACCAGTTACAGCCTGACCGACAGCCTCTTCTAAGAAAAAAAAAGTCAGGGGAGGGGTGTGCAGCTGGCTACTCTTCAGTTTCTATGGCAACAAAGTAGAAAGAGTCAAATTCCTGTCTAATCTGGCAATTGCTTCAGGGGTCCTTCTGCCTCTGTCTGTGTTGGGGTGGCTTGCGCACACAGGTAGGAATTTTTCTTCCCCTCCCCTTCCCATTTTCATGCCCAACCTCACCAAGTGTTTCCTGAGAAAACCCCGTTCAAGGGTCTGAGCTCTCGGAGCGCTGACCATGCCCGGCCGCAGTCATGCAGGTAACCCGCCTGTTCCCAGAGCACCCAGCCTCCCCCGATACACTGCAGGGCGCCTCGGTGAACACCACTGGCTGACCGGCCGGGCAGTCACTCGCACAGCTCCCCCTTGGTTTGAGAAGGGTTGAGTGTTTCGGTGAAATAGGCTAAAACAGCAGCGACTATTTCTAGAGTGTTCTTATCCTTATGTGTCATTATATTTGATTGGTTTTGATAGCACATACGGTGATTAAATGTAATGTAACTGAGAACAGACAAACCTTCTACGTGGGTCCGAAGCTATTTACTGATAGGAAATTGCAGAAGAGAGTTTATTTAGTCAGCATATGAGTGAGGCAGCCAGGTAAGGGAAGAGCTGCAGATGTTGGAAAACTCAGCCATATTAATGGGAATTAAAGTAAAAATAGAAAGTCAATGAAGACTGAGCAGGAATAAACATTTTTAGGGAACATGGAATGTGGCCCCTCTCTCTTACAGAGTGGCCACCACCCCCTGAGTGCCTGAGTTTTGAAAAATTCAAAATACAGTGAGCTTCCTCTATAACATAGCAGCCCCCTCCCTCGTAAAGAGTCTGTGGAAATTATAGTACAAGACAACTAGCTCCTTTTAAAATCCCAATTTACTTTAAACACGATAGTAAAAAACTGAGCTAAAAACAAATTGTGATGGATCATTCTTTTTTACTTCACAAAAACACTCCTAATATGTAGCCATTCAACAATTAAATAATTCCTGTACCTTGCTACTCTATAATTTTTTTTGAGACAGGGTCTTTCTTTGCAGTTCAGGCTGGCCTTAAACCCACGCCAGAGGCCAGGCTGGCCTCGAACACAGCAATCCTCCTGCCGCAGTCTTCCAAGTGCTACGATTACAGGCCTGTGCCGTCATGCCCGGCACCTATAAATAATTCTGAAGTGAGGGGCCACATAGCCATCCAGTCGGGTCCCCTCCTAAAATCTAGGACCTACCCTCCTCTCCTTATTTCCAGTAAAACTTTCCTAACCTCTTTCTTTGATTCATGACTTCATTCTTTGGTATTTTGCAAAACCATGAGCCTCAGACACATGATAAAAATATGACATAGCTCTATTTTTGAAAAAACTCATCATTTCATAAAAAATGCCTGAGAACAATATAGAAGTGTTGTAGATACATGCACGTCTAACTACCCTGTGAGCCTGGTCTGTAATCTTTTCCCAAAACCAAGCATTGCTATCATTCTGCTGGACATTGTTCTACTCAATAGCAACTACGTATAAAACAGTCCTCCCCCTGACAGAAAAGCTGACATTTGTAAATGTTTATGCTCTACAGGTTTTCCAACTCATTATGATATATGTTGCATTTCTGTGTAAGTCTACTTCGTACTTTTAAATAGTTGTACGGACAGCCACAGAATACTCAAATCACAATTTCTTTAGTAAATATCCAAATGATGGCTACATTAACGACATTTTTCACCATTACAGCGGCATAAATTATAGACCAGTCTCAGCAGGCCTCTTTGTGCAGCGGCGAGAGGTTTGCTTAAGGAGTCATAAACTTCATTTTATAAAAGGAAAGCTACATGTCTCAGGCTGAACTGTGCCCCTTAGATCCCTGTGTCACGGGGTTCAGGGGTGGAGGGAGGCGGGGACAGCGGCAGGGAGAAGGAAGGCAAAGTGGTCTCTCCTTTGGGATCCGGCCTGCTTCCTAGGCGTCTCTTTGGGGCAGGACCCTGGCTCCCCTGCTGCCCTAAGTGGTGTCCAAAGGAACCTCCTCACTAGCTGTTGAGGCCAGGGCAGATGTGACCGGCTGCTGGCTCGTCTCGTGGCCTCCAGTGGCCTCCAGTGGCCTCCAGTGGCCTCCAGTGGCCTGAGAGGCTGTGGCAGGCTCCGCCTGTGTCCTGAAGGGTGGGAGAAGCCCCCGGCTGGTGCTTTCCTCTGCCACTGCTGTTCAAGTCTAAAGTGGCTCCTTTAATTTCTGTTCATGCTCAAACTTTCCAAAATGTATTGCTCACCAGTTTTTAAATAATAGCTTTGTGGAGCTATAATTCACCTACCGTACAATTGCCCGCTGTAAAGCATACAATTACAAGATTTTTTTTTTTTTTTAACATTCTTAGGCTTGTGCAGCCATCTTCACAGTCAGTGTTAGAACACTGTCATTCCTTCAGAAACCTTTAATACCCCTGTCCCTGGGCAGAGATTGAAGACACAATGAACACCCTTCTATTCTGGGTCATTCTGAAATATGAGGAGATGGATTCTCAGTGAGTGGTTAAGTAGTCAAAAATTAATTCATACCTCATGTGTTTTGGACCTGGGCCCAGGCAAGGTTTGAGGAGCCAGTTTCCTCTGTGTGACTGGAGACTCTTCCTGGATAGATTGCTGTTCTTATGCTTCAGTTTTCTGTCACTGAAGGGCACACCTTGCGGGTAGTTTCTGGTGACTTTGAGCAACCCTGTGACCACCTTCGCCAAGGATGGCCAGTTGCTGTGGCTGAGGGGAAGCCCTGATCTCTGTGAGGCTTCCAGCTGCCATTTTAATCTCATCTCCAGAATAACAAGAAGCTATGGCAGGAAGTCACTGGCTGCGGCTCATCAGCAAGTGTTGGACACAGCTGTCTCCGTCCTTGGGCCGAGTTGATGGCCTGGCTATGGCCTGGGTGGGATGAAGCCCTGGCAGAGCAGATCGAAGATAACACCTTCAAGGGGACGTGGAGGCTTGTGAGCCCTGAGAACTGCCTACTGGGAACGTCTGTGGGAGGAAATACTTGGAATACCACAGGTTTTGGAAACATGCAGTGCTTGGGTTGAACCTTCATGTGCTCTTCCTTAAGTTAAAGGCAAACCTCCCACTCCCAGGATTGGGAGAGGACGGGGGCCGTGAGGTGGACATGTAGTCGGAGCCCAGGTCTGCTAGAAGGCAGCGCTTTCATTAACTGAACTGGACGGCTGGGTCCTGTTTCGTGAATTACTGCAAGGGTGAGTGAGCCAGGTTACCGGAAGGCCCTAGGAACAAGTGCCATCCTTATTGTCTAAGCCTGATCCCTCCTGCCTCGACTTCTTGTAGAGGGAAAATAACTGTCCCCTCCAAGAGACATGCCTGGTGTGGAGACCTGATGTGTCGCCCCCAAATACGTGACCCGAAACACGCCACCCTAAAATATTCCACTTTGGTATAAGGATTATTTTGAGCTGAAGCAACTGAGCATCAGATACCAAAATGAAAAATAAGTTTAAAAATAATAAATCTCTCTGCCTCCCTCTCCTCCCGATTGCCCTACTCATTTGCCCAAAGAGGGGCTAAGTTTACAAAGACACCCTGGCCTATGGAGGGGGACCAGAGTCATCGGCTCAGTCACCAGTGGCGAGTGAGATGCAGGAGTTCTGGAAGCCCGTACGGGCTGTGAGAAGGCAGGACCTGCCGTGTGCTCCACAGCCACTACGGGCCCCAGGCAGGGCCCGCTTTGAGGCCCGCTGGGCTCAGGAGAGCCCTGGTCTTGTTCTGCAGGTCTGGTCTGGAGGTGGGTCACAGCGTCACCTTTGAACTGGACTTTATCCGCGCAGCTCGGGACCCAGAGCAGCCCACTTGGCTCCCTGAGCCAAGCCCCTTGCTGCCGGGGGCCTTGGCTGGTGGAAGAGGAGGTGGCCGCCCATCCCAGCAGGCAGTGCCTCTGTGGCCTGGGCTTTCTCTGTCCACTGGGATGCCCTTCCGTCTCCATGGCTTTCTCTTCCCACTTCTCGGGTGCATTAAATTCTGTCAGCCCTTGGCGTCTGCTCTGCACACCCCCTGCTCACATCGGCGCTTTAGGGAGAGGGATGCAAACTTCTCCACAGGACTGGCAGGCGGGAGGTCCAGGGATTTGTCCGGAGGACGTGATGGAGACAAAAGCTTTCACCACAAGGGGTTTTGCCCCAGTAATGTTTAGTATTAAAAAGTGGAAGCGAATTTCCCGTTGGAGAGGATTAAGAGCGTGACACAGGCAGACACACAGTGCATACAGCATCCACCCCTGAAAATAACGAGGCTGCGTGTTTCCCGGTACAGGAGAACTGCCATCAACTGTGACGTTCAAAATTATTTTGAAATGTAAATTTTATTTTGAAAAACCATGTAATTTCTTACAGATCAGGGTAGTTCTGTGCGGCGGGATTTCTGGTGACTTCTTTTTTTGACTGTTTTTCTCCCAAATCTTGCTTCTGTCCCTAGGTGCGCTGGAAGATGGCCAGTCCCCCAGTGGCGTCCCCCGAGCCACCGCCCCCGGCGGGATCCCTGACCCAGAGAAGAAGATGAACTGTGGCACGCAGAACCTCGGCTCCGGGCCTCGGGCCCAGAAGCAGAATGGCCTTTGGACCACAGAGGTAGGGGCACATGGTGGGCCAGATCCGGGCACGGGAGAGTCCCCGCCCGCCACCACTGTGAACGCGGCTGTCACCCTCGCCCGCCCCGGTACCTGTGGGTGACTGGCTCTGGAGGAGGCGTGGGTGGGCCTCGGTGCGGCTGTGTTCAGGGGTCTCCTCTAGGGTGGGGAGGCCTGTGCTGGCTGGAACCCTCTCGGACCAGGCTGTAAGGCAGGTGGGGAGCGGGCAGGGAGGCGGCGTCACCCCAGACAGCCACGGTTGCAGAGGGGCGAGTGCGCAGTCCTGGGCCGGGCTGGCCCTTCTCTGACCCTTTTTCTCCCAGCGCTATGCCTGCCCTGGGTCCTCCGGCCGCCCTGGGTCCTCCCTAGCCGGAGAAATGCTGCGCATGCCTCTTCCTCCTCCTCCTTCCATCTCCCACTCCGTCCTCTGCCCCGACCCCATCTCCATCCCTGCAAGGCCAGGGTCACTCCGTCTGCACGCTGTGCTCTCCGCTGTCCTGTCGGCATTCCCTTCCTGCCCCTGCGGCCAGCGCCTCCTGTGTGCTGTGGGCGTGGCTGGCTGTCTAGCCACGAAACCTCGCTCACATCAGTGAGTCGCCTCTCAACTCCCTGGTTGGCAAAATTCAGCTTTCATGTTCATTCAGGAAGGGGCCTTGCAGGAAGTCCACACAGCGGAAGTAAAACCATACCACAGCCGTCAGCCCAGAGGCCTGCTGCTGTGAGCAGAGGCGTCACAGGGACAGTTAAGGGTTAGCAGGACGTGAGGCACCTCTGCCCCAGCCGAGAAGATGGGGCACCAGTGGGGCACATCGGTCTTCCTGGGCCCCATATAGCCTCCTTTGCCCCTGAATAGGCTGACCTTGCCACCCCCAGGTGGCCTGGACCCACAGAACCACACTCGGAAGCTTGGGAACAGTTGCAGTCAGGCCCAGACATCTGTCCCCTTCACCACACCCATCTTCCCCCCTCTGTCCTTCTCAGGAGAGTTGGGCTTTGTACTCTACGAAGTACCTTCAGGTCTCTTGGCGTCACCACCTCCGAGAGCGTGGCGAGCTCAGCATCGCCCGCAGGACAAGGAGATCCAGTGTGAGGTTCATTGCGTTGGGTCGCATGAATAGGCTCATGCATATGGGCGTATAAGCTCTGGAGATGGACATCACAATTTTTCACTGAGAAAAGGCAAAGATTCAAAAGAAGGAGCATGACTTCTTAGAGTACTCAGTCAGCTGTTATCACTGTAGGGCTGCGTAAGCACTAAACCTCACCAACATCCTGTGGCTGCAGTACGGCCCTGTCCTCCTGCCCTCAGAGCCAATTGCTGCTTCAGGGGGCCCCACCTGACTTTAGCATCCAGGTCTGGCTCAGTCTGTGCCAAGCACAGTACACTGCTCTGGAAATCAGGCCAAGAAAGCGGCAGCTCTCTGAAGTGCATTCTCATAACTACCGGTATGGTGCCAACCCAAGAGGGCAAGGCCAGCCGCTTGAACACACGTTTCCGCTCATCTGCCCACTAGCATCCTAGTGGCTGTGACGTCAAACAGATGAGCCTGAGTGGGAGGGAGAGCCAAGAACAAGGAGCGTAGTGGAGTCTGCCACGGGGAACACACAGAACGGCAAGATGGGGATTCATCCAGGTCAAGAAAGGACATCAGCGCACCCCAGGTCTCCCCTTACCCCTTCCTGGTCATCGCTTCCAACAGTGACCTCCCTTCTGACCTCTCCCATGATAGAGCAGGTGGCTCTGCGTTTTTGATTTTCGTAGACGGACCCATACAGCGGCGGTGTTGCCCGGCTTCTTTTGCTGACGCAGTCCTTGTGAGAACATCCTTGTCATTGTGAGTTGAGGCAGTTTTTTAAATTTTTCATTGTCATGTGTTTTATTATATGAACAGACTGCAGCTCATCTATTTTACTTGATGGACAAATTCGGGGTCATCATGAACAATAAAGCTATTTACATCTAGTGCGTGCCTGGGGTGTATATTTGCATGTCTGACTTGACGTGAATGACAGTTTGGACACAGACAGTTATCCAAAGTGACTGTACCACTTTGCACTCCAGTTGGCAGTGGAGGGGTTCCAGCTAGGAATTTGAGCAGTGAGTTGTGCTCAGTCGGTCTTCCTCTGGCCTCTGATAGCAGCTATCTACTTACTTGCATGTGTCCTGGGCACCCTGGAGGCTGAGGACTACGTCACCACATTAGTGCTCAGGATATTTGGATTGTGTCTAAAATGCTGGTGTTGTCTCTAGTTTGCCGCTGAGGACAAAGGCTCGGAGATAGCTAAGGAAAACTTTCCATGCCACATGCACGCACTCGTGTACACAAACACACACACACACACACACCCCAGGAGCCTGTGTGGTAGCTAAATGGGGCCAGGCAGAGCTGGCCCCTCGGGGCTCTCTTGGCAGTGGGAACTGTGTCACAGGGGGGCGGGGACCCCGCAGCTCGATAAGCAGCCCAGGCAGCTGTGTT